TCCAACTGGGAATCCCGTCCCCGTTCCCAATCCCACTGGGAATCCCCGTTCCCATTCCCAATCCCCATTCCCAATCCCCATTCCCAATCCCCATTCCCCATTCCCCAATCCCCATTCCCAATCCCCATTCCCCATTCCCAATCCCCATTCCCAATCCCCATTCTCAATCCCCAATCCCCAATCCCCATTCCCCAATCCCCATTCCCAATCCCCATTCCCCAATCCCCATTCCCAATCCCCAATCCCCATTCCCCAATCCCCATTCCCAATCCCCATTCCCCATTCCCAATCCCCATTCCCAATCCCCATTCCCCAATCCCTAATCCCCGTCCCAAATTCCCCCATTCCCAATCCCAATCCCACTGGGAATTCCCATTTCAGTGGAGCGCCGGCGCCGGGACAAGATCAACAACTGGATCGTGCAGCTGTCCAAGATCATCCCCGACTGCTCCATGGAGAACACCAAATCCGGACAGGTCCATGCTTTGGGGGTCGTTTGGGATTATTTGGGGTTTTTTGGGATGATTTGGGGTTTTTTGGGGTCATTGGGGCGCCAGCAGTGACCCCGAACCCCACAGAGCAAGGGCGGGATCCTGTCCAAGGCCTGCGACTACATCCAGGAGCTGCGGCAGAGCAACCTGCGGCTGAGCGAGGAGCTGCAGGGCCTGGACCAGCTGCAGATGGACAACGAGGTGCTGCGCCAGCAGGTCAGACTGGGATGGACTGGGAGGGACTGGGGGAAACTGGGAAAGGGGCTGGGAACACTGGGAATGGGATTGAGATCAATGGGACCAGGCCTGGGGTTACTGGGATGGGATTGGGATCAATGGGATCAGGGCTGGAGCAGCTGCAGATGGACAACAAGGTGCTGCACCAGCAGGTCAGACTGGGAGCACTGGGAGGGACTGGGGGGAACTGGGAATGGGGCTGGGAACATTGGGAATAGGGCTGGGGTGGGACTGGGGTCATTGGGATCAATGGGATAGGGCTGGGATTGATGGGATCAGGGCTGGAGCAGCTGCAGATGGACAACAAGGTGCTGCACCAGCAGGTCAGACTGGGAGCACTGGGAGGGACTGGGGGGAACTGGGAATGGGGCTGGGAACATTGGGAATAATAGGGCTGGGGTGGGACTGGGGTCATTGGGATCAATGGGATAGGGCTGGGATTGATGGGATCAGGGATGGACCAGCTGCAGATGGGCAACGAGGTGCTGCACCAGCAGGTCAGACTGGGAGGGACTGGGAATGGGGCTGGGATGGACTGGGAATGTGATTGGGGTCGCAGGGATGGGATTGGGGTCATTGGGATCAATGGGATAGGGCTGGGATTGATGGGATCAGGGATGGAGCAGCTGCAGATGGACAATGAGGTGCTGCACCAGCAGGTCAGACTGGGAGCACTGGGAGGGACTGGGATGAACTGGGATAGACTGGGAATGAGCTTGGGGTCACTGGGATGGGATTGGGGTCATTGGGATCAATGGGATAGGGCTGGGATTGATGGGATCAGGGATGAACCAGCTGCAGATGGACAATGAGGTGCTGCACCAGCAGGTCAGACTGGGAGCACTGGGAGGGACTGGGATGAACTGGGAACACTGGGAATGGGATTGGAGTCATGGTAATGGGGCTGGGGTCATTGGGGTGGAGCTGGAGTCATGGGAATGGGCATTGAGATCAATGGGATTGGGGCTGGAGCAGCTGCAGATGGACAGCGGGGTGCTGCGCCAGCAGGTCAGACTGGGAGGGACTGGGGGAAACTGGGAATGGGGCTGGGATGGACTGGGAATGGGATTGGGTCACTGGGATGGGATTGAGATCAATGGGATCAGGGCTGGGGTCATTGGGGTGGAGCTGGGGTCATGGGGATGGATTTGGGATCGATGGATCAGGGATGGAGCAGCTGCAGATGGACAGCGAGGTGCTGCACCAGCAGGTCAGACTGGGAAGGACTGGGAGGGACTGGGAGCACACTGGGGGATATTTTGGGGTGCAGTTGGATATTTTGGGGTCTCTGGGGGATGTTTTGGGGTGTCTAACCCCCCCCCCCATACCACTTTGGGATACCACAAAATCTAGTGGAGGAAGGACAAGAACCTGTTGGTTTGGGATATTGGGAGCACTGGGAGTTACTGGGAGCACTGGGAGTTACTGGGAGCACTGGGAGTGCACTGGGGGATATTTTGGGGTACAGGGTGATATTTTGGGGTGCAGGGGGATATTTTGGGGTCACTGGGGGATGTTTTGGGGTCCCCAAATGCAGGTGGAGGAGCTGAAGAACAAGAACCTGCTGGTTTGGGATATGGGGAGCACTGGGAGTTACTGGGAGCACTGGGAGTACACTGGGGGATATTTTGGGTGCAGGGTGATATTTTGGGGTGCAGGGTGATATTTTGGGGTCACTGGGGATGTTTTGGGGTCCCCAAACGCAGGTGGAGGAGCTGAAGAACCAGAACCTGCTGCTGTAGCGGGTTTGGGATACTGGGGGTTACTGGGAGCACTGGGGGTTACTGGGAGCACTGGAGCACACTGGGGGATATTTCGCGATTCAGGGGGATATTTTGGGGTACAGGGCGATATTTTGGGGTTATTTTGGGGTGTCTGACCCCCCTAAATGCAGGTGGAGGAGCTGAAGAACAAGAACCTGCTTCTGAGGGCGCAGCTGCGCCAGCACGGGCTGGAGATCGTCATCAAAAACGACACCCACTGACCCCAAAAACCCCAAAACTCACCCCAAAATTCCACCTACCCCCCATTCCCGCACCCCAAAAACCCCCCGGGACCCCCCCAAAACCCCTCCCCACCCCTGCAGCCCTTCCCCCCGCGCTCGGTTCTGCCCCTCCCCCCCCCAATCATGTCACCCCTCCCCCAGAATCCCCAAAAAACCCCCAAAAAAACCCCAAAAAACCCCAAATTTCGCCCCCACACCCCAAAATTTCGCCCCTCCACGCTCTGGGCCCGGCAGGCCCCTCCCCCACCCCCCACAATTTTGGACCCCTCCCCCACCCCCACCTTAAAATTTGGGGCCCCTCCCCCCCTCCAAAATGGGATTTGGGGTCGCCCCTCCCCCACCCGGAGGGGGTTTTGGGGGTTTTGGGGGGGGAGGGGATTTTTGGGGGGGTTTGGGACCCTCACGCCCCCTCCCCCACCCCCCTTTTTGCCCCTCCCCCCCCTCCCCTTTTTGCCCCTCCCCCCCCCCCTCCCCGCGGGGTTTTGGGATTTTTTTTTTTTTTTTAAATTCTGTCGGAATTGCAAAAAAAACAACAAAAAAAAAAAACCCAAAAAGGAAAAAAAAAATTCCAGGCTAAAAAAAAAAAAAATTACAAAAAAAAAAAAAAAAAAAACAAAGAAAAAAAAAAAGAAATAAAAACGGGATTTGTTTTTTTGTGGAGTCCTTCAAGGTTCTTCCCAGAGCCCATCCCCAACCTAAAGGGACCCCAAAACCGACCCCAAAATCACCTAAAACCCACAAAATCCCCTAAAAACCCCCACAGGGATCCCAAAATTCCCTAAAAATCCATAAAGGGACCCCAAAATTCCTTGAAGCCCTCAAATAGACCCCAAAATCCCCAAAGGGATCCTAAAACTGTCCTGAAACTCCTAAAGGGACCCCAAAATTCCCTAAAACTCCCAAAGGGACCCAAAATTCCTCCTTAATTCCCTCAGGGACCCCAAAATCCCCTGAAAACCCCAAAGGGATTTCCCAAAAATCCCCTAAAACCTCAAAGGGACCCTAAAACCCCAAAAGGGACCCCAAAATCTCCTAAAACCCCAAAAGGGATCCCAAAACCTTCAAAGGGACCCCAAAAGGGACCCCAAAACCTTCAAAGGGACCCCAAAAGGGACCTCAAAATCCCCTAAAACTACTCAAGGGACCCCAAAATCCCCCTGAATTCCTTCAAGGAACCCAAAATGGCCCTGAAAATCCCAAAAGGAATTTCCAAGAATCCCTTAAATCCCCTAAAACCCCGAAGGGACCCCCAAAACTGCCCTGAAACTCCCCAAAGAGGCCCCGAAATTCTCCCAGATTCTCCCCAAAATCCCCCTGAAAATCTCAAAGGGTCCAAACTGGTCCAAACTGGGAGCACTGGGTGGTCACTGCAGGGGTCACTGGAGGTCACTGGTCTGAACTGGTCCCAACTGGTCTGAACTGGGCATCCTGAAAGTCACTGGGAGGTCACTGGGGGGCACTGGGGAGTCACTGGTTTGTACTGGGGGGGGTCACTGGTCTAAACTGGGAATGGTCCAAACTGGGTGGTCCAAACTGGGAGCACTGAGTGGTTACTGGAGGGGGTCACTGAGGGTCATTGATGGTCACTGGTTTGTACTGGTGAGGTCACTGGGGGCCATTGGTCCAAACTGGGAGCTCTGGGCAGTCACTGGGGGGGTCACTGGGGGGTCGGTCACTGGTCAAACTGGTCCAAACTGGTCCGGACTGGGAGCTTTGGGCAGTCACTGGTGGGGGGGTCCCTGGGGGGTCACTCATCCCTACTGGTCCAAACTGGGAGCCCTGTGTGGTTTCTGGAGGGTCACTGGGGGTCACTGGGGCGGGTCACTGGTCCCAACTGGTCCAAACTGGGAGCCCTGGGTGGTCACTGGAGGTCACTGGTCAAACTGGTCCAAACTGGGAGCTTTGGGGGGGTCAGTGGAGGTCACTGGGCAGGGCCATTGGGGTGTCACTGGTCCCAACTGGTCCCAACTGGTCCCAACTGGTCCCAACTGGTCCGGCCTGGGAGCCCCTCCCGGCCCCTCAGCGCCCCCCAGCGGCCGAAGCCGCCCGGTCGCCATGACAACACCAAGCCCCGCCCCCGCGCTCTCCCATTGGCCAGAAGTTCCAGCGCGCTCTCCCATTGGCCGCCGCTCCCCGCCCTCCCCTTTAACCAATCAACCCACGCGGGCGGCACCCCGCGGACCAATCAGCGCGCGCCGCTTTGACCCGACACGCGGTACAACCAATGAGAGCGCGGAGAGGGCGTGGTCAACGAGGCACCTGGCGGGATGGGCGGGGCCTGGGTGTGTCGGGGGCGGGGCTTGGCGGGGCGGGCGCACCTGGAGCGGGGCGGCGGCGGCGCCATGGCGGGAGCGGAGCGGGGACGGCACCGGGAGCGGCCCCGGGGGCACCGGGAACACCATGGGGGACAGCGGGGACACCGCTGGGGACCGCCCGGGGCGGGGCTGCGGCTGCTGCTGCTGCTCGGGGCGCTCGGTGAGTGCGGGGGGGCTCCAGGAACCCGGGGGTACCGGAGGGGGGGGGCGGGAATCGGGGAGGGGGAAGGGGAACCGGGGAGAGGGGGTAAAATTGGGGAAGGGGCTCGACTGGGGCGAGGGGTGGGAATTGGGGAGGGGGAACCGGGGAGAGGGTTCAAACTGGGGAAGGGGCTCCGGGAACCGGGAGAGACCGGGGTAACCGGGGGGGGCCGGGAATTGGGGAAGGGGAACCGGGGAGGGGGTTCATACTGGGGAGGGGGCTCCGGGAAACTGAGAGGAGGGGCGGGAATTGAGGAGGGGGGGAGGGGAAAGCGGGGGAGGGGCGGGAATTGGGGAGGGGGCTCGGGAAATGGTGGGGGAGGGGGTTTGGAGAAGCGGGAGGGGGGCGGGAATTGGGAAAGGGGAGAGGGGAGACCGGAGAGGGGTAAAATTGACGAGGGAGCTCGGGAACCGGGGAGGGGAACCGGAATTGGGGAGGGGGCTCAGGAAACGCGGGGTCGTTAACGGGGGAGGAGAACCGGGGGGCTCCGGTACAAAGAGGGGTCGGTGGGTACCGGAGAAGGCTCGGTAAAGGGGCGGGGGGTCGCTAACGGGAGCACGTGGGGGGCGGGCGGGGCAAGGCCGGTACCGGGGGAGGGGTCTGGGGTCAGCCCGGGGGGGTCAGGACCGGGCCGGGGTCACCGCAGGGGTCACGGTCCCGGTGAGGGTTTGGGGGCACCGGAGCCGCTCCCGGTACCGGAGAGGTCCCGGGGGTTCGGGGGGGTCCCGGCGGCGCGTCCGGAGCGGGGCTGGGGCGGGGGGGGGCCCTTCCTGTCCCTTCCTGTCCCCTCCATTGTGTGCGACAATCCCGGGATTAACCCGATCCCGCCTGGGCTGGACTCGGCCTGAGTCGGGACTGACCCAATTCCGGTTTATTTGGACCCAAAATGAGTCGGGACTGACCCAATTCTGGTTTATTTAGACCCAAAACAGGTCGGGATTAACCTGATCCTGGTTTATTTGGACCCAAAATGAGTCGGGATTAACCCGATCCCAAATTATTTGAACTAAACCAGGTCGGGATTAACCCAGTCCTGGTTTATTTGGACCCAAAACGATTCGGGCCAAACCAAATCCCGGTTTATTTAGACCCAAAACGAGTCGGGACTAACCCAATCCCCGTTTATTTAGACCCAAAACGGGTCGGGATTTACCCAATCCCAGTTTATTTAGACACAGATTGGATTGGGATAAACCCAGTCCTAAATGTGGTCCTGGTTCAGGTTGGGATTTTCCTGATCCTGCCTGGTTTGGACCCAAACCAGGTCGGGATTTTCCCAATCCCGGCAGATTTAAACCCGGTCCTGCCAGGCCCCGATCTGGGTTGGTCCCAGACTCCCACGGGATGTTCCCATCCTTTGTTTATTCCCCAAAATCCCATCCCGATTCTGATTTGTTGCCCCCCAAATCCTGATTTCCTCCCAAATCCCAATTTTCCCCCCAAACCCTTATTTTCCCCTCCCAAATCCCGATTTCCCCCCCTAAATCCCCATTTTTCCCCACAAAAAATCCCGATTTTCTTCCCCCCAAATCCCGATTTCCCCCCCCCCCCCAAATCCCGATTTTCCCCCCAAAAAGTCCCGTTTTTCCCCCCCAAATCCCGATTTTCTTCCCCCCGAATCCCGATTTTTCCCTCCTAAATCCCCATTTTTCCCAAAAAATCCCGATTTTCCCCCTCGATCCCGATTTTCCCGCCCGGGTTTCGCTTGGCAGCGGCCCCGGGGGTGCAAAGGTGGCGCGGGCGGTGCCGATCCCGGTGCCGATCCCGGTGCCGATCCCGGGACAATCCCGGTGCCAATCCCGCCTGGAATGAGTCACCCGAGCCAAACCCGGCTCCGGGAATGTCCCAGCTCCGGAGGGGACACAAAGGGGACACGGGAGGGGACACGGGAGGGGGACGCAGGACGGGCGTGTCCCTGCCGAGCTCGGGATTGCGACATTCCCGGCCAGTTTCCTGCGAAAGTGGGCAGGAAATGGGCAGAAACCTGGTAGAAACTGGGGAGAAACTGGGCAGGAAATGGGCAGAGGCTGAGCAGGGACTGGGTAAAAACTGGGAAGAAACTGGGCAGAAATTGAGTAGAAACTGTGCAGAAAATGGGCAGGAACTGGGCAGAAATTGATTAGAAACTGGGTAAAAACTGGGCAGGATCTGGGCAGAAACTGGGAAAGAACTGGGGAGAAACTGGGAAAGAACTGGGGAGAAACTGGGAAAGAACTGAGCAGAGAGTGAGCAGAAGCTGGGTAAAAACTGGGAAGAAATTGGGCAGAAACTGGGAAAGAACTGGGTAGAAACTGGGCAGAGACTGAGCAGAAACTGGGCAGAAACTGGGCAGGAACTGGGCAGAGATGGAAACTGGGCAGAAATGGCAAGAAATGGGCAGAAATTGGGAAAGAACGGGGGAGAAACTGGGAAAGAACTGAGCAGAGACTGAGCAGAAACTGGGCAGGAAATGGGCAGAGACTGGATAAGAACTGGGCAGAAACTGGGCAGAAATAGCAAAAACTGGGCAGAAATGGGCAGAAACTGAGGAAGAACTGGAGAGAAACTGGACAGAAACTGGGAAATAACTGGGCAGGAAATGGGAAGAAACTGGGCAGGAACTGGGAAAGACCTGGGCAGAAACTGAACAGAAACTGGGTAGAAAATGGGCAGGAACTGGGCAAAAATTGAGTAGAAACTGGGTAAGAATTGGGCAGGAGCTGAGCAGGAACTGGGAAGAGACTGGGCAGAAACTGGGGAGAAAGTGGGAAAGGACTTGGTAGAAACTGGGTGAAAACTGGGCAGAAATGGAGTAAAAACTGGGAAAGAGCTGGGGAGAAACTGGGAAAGGACTGAGCAGAAATTGGGGAAGAACTGAGCAGAAAATGGGGAAGAACTGAGCAGAAACTGGGCAGAAATGGAACAGAAACTGGGACAGAGCAGAGCAGGAGCTGGGCAGGGCAGGAGTGGCCGGACGGGATTTTCCAGCTCCCGCTGGTGGCCGTGCCCAGTGACCTCCTGGTGGCCGTGCCCGGGGCTCCCGGTGACCTCCCGGCCCCGGTGGCCCCGCCCTGGCTCCCGGTGACCTCCCTGTGGCCCTGTTGGGGCTCCCGGTGACGTCCCCTCCCCTCCGGTGTCCCCACAGCCACGCTGGCCACAGCCCAGGTGACCTCGGAGGACCAGGAAGTGCCAGAGCACAAACGTGAGTGTCCCCACAGTGTCACCGGTGTCCCCACGGTGTCACCAGCCTGGGGCTGCACCTGGGGAGGTTTGGAGGGGTTGGTTTTGGGTGGTCCTGGTTTGGGTGGTCCCAGAACCGATCCTGGTTCTGGCTGAGCCCAGTTCTGTCTAACCCCGGTTCTGCCTTGTCCCAGTCCCGGTCCTGTTCTGGCCCTTGTTCTGTCTGACCCTGGTTCTCTCCAGCCCTGGGTCTGGTCCCAGTCCTGGTTCTGTCTGACCCCGGTTGTGCCTGGTTCCAGTTCTGTCTGACCCCAGTTCTGACCTGGGTTCTGATGCTGGTTTTGACCCCGGTCCTGGTTCTGGTTCTGTCTGACCCTGGTTCTCTCCAGTCCCAGTTCTGACCCCAGTCCCAGTTCTGGTTCTGGTCCTGGTTCTGCCCCTGGTCCTGGTTCTGTTCTGACCCTGATCCTGGTCCCAGTCCTGGTTCTGATCCTGGTTCTGTTCTGCCCCCAGTTCTGTCTGACCCTGGTCCTATTCCTGGTTCTCACCCTGGTTCTGTCTGATCCTGGTTCTGCCTGGTTCTGGTCCTGGTTCTGTTCTGACCCCAGTTCTGGTCCCAGCTCTGCCCCCGTTCTGTGTTCTGGTCCTGGTTCTGCCCCCATTCCTGGTCCCAGTCCTGGTTCTGCTCCCGTTCTTGGTTCTGGTCCCTGTTCTGACTCTGGTCCCGGTTCTGATCCCGATCCCGGCTCTGTCTGACCCCAGTTCTGATTCCGATTCTGTCTGGTGCTGGTTCTGCCCGGTTCTGGTCCCAGTTCTGACCCCATTCCCTGTTCTGGTCCTGGTTCTGCCCCCGGTTCTGGTCCTGGTTCTGTCTGACCCTGGTTCTGCCCCGGTTCTGGTTCTGAGCCCGGTCTCGTTCCTGGTTCTGTTCTGACCTCGGTCCTGGTCCCAGTTCTGTTCTGACTCCAGTCCCAGTTCTGGTCCCTGTTCTGTCCCCGGTTCTGGTCCTGGTTCTGCCCCCCTTCCTGATTCTGGTCCCTGTTGTGACCCCGGTCCCATTTCTGGTCCTGGTTCTCACCCCGGTCCTGGTCCTGGTTCTGCCTGGTTCTGGTCCTGGTTCTGACCCCATTCCTGGTCCCGGTTCTGTTCTGACCCTGGTTCTGGTTCTGTTCTGACCCCATTCCTGGTCCTGGTTCTGGCCCTGTTCCCAGCTCTGGTCCCTGTTCTGCCCCCGTTCCCATTCCCGGTTCTGACCCATTCCCGTTCTCGTTCCCAGTTCTGTCCTGGTTCTGTTCTAGTTCTGCCCCTGTTCCCGGTTCTGGTCCCAGTTCTGCCCCCATTCCCATTCCTGGTTCTAACCCAGTTCTGACCCGTTCCCATTCCCGGTTCTGCCCCTCTTCCCGGTTCTGGCCCGGTTCTAACCCAGTTCTGACCTGTTCCCATTCCTGGTTCTGACCCGGTTCCCATTCCTGTTCCCATTCCCGGTTCTGCCCGGTTCTGACCTGTTCCCATTCCCGGTTCTGACCCGGTTCCCATTCCTGTTCCCATTCCCGGTTCTGACCCGGTTCGGACCTGGTTCTGACCCGTTCCCATTCCCGGTTCTGTCCCGGTTCTGACCCGTTCCCAGCCGTGGAGCTGCGCTGCGCCGCGTTCCGCTCCAGCTCGGGCAGCGCCCGCATCGAGTGGAAATTCCAGAGGGACTCATCCCTGACACTGATCTACTACGGGGGGGAGCTCACAGGTACCAGGGGGCATTTGGGGACATTTGGGGACATTTGGGGACAGTGGGGACAGCAGGGGACATGGGGGACATTGGGCACATCGGGGGGTGTTGGGGACACCGGGGACATTGTGGGGCACTGGAACACTGGCGATACTGGGGATATGGGAGACACTGGAGACAGCAGGGACATGGGGGACACTGGGGACAGTGGGTGACATTGGGGACAGTGGGAGCACTGGGGACATTGGGGACAGCAGGGACATTGGGGGACACAGGGACCTTGGGTACACTGGGGATGCTGGGGACAGCGGGGACAGTGGGAACATTGGGGGACATTGGGATTATCAGGGACACCAGGGACATTGGAGGAGCCCTGTGGGGACATCTGTGAGGTCCCAAAGCCCATGGGGGACATTGAGGGGGTCTCTGCAGAGATACTGGGGAGCCCTCAAGCCTGTGGGGCCATCAGGGTGTCCCTGGGGTGTCCCTGCCATGTCCCACCATGTCCCCTGGTGTCCCCAGAGCCGTACCGGGACCGTGTCCAGTTCTCGCCCACGTCCATCCGCTTCGGCTCGGTGACACGGAAGGACAGCGGCAAGTACATCTGCGAGGTGGTGGGGGATGGCAGCCACATCGCCAAGTCCGAGGTCAACCTCATCGTGCAGGGTGAGGCCACCCTGTCCCCAGCCCCAGCCTTGTCCCCTGTCCCCAACCTTGGTTTTCTCCCTTGTCCCCATCCCTGGTGTTGTCCCTTGTCCTTGGCCCCATCCCTGGCATTGGCCCTCGCCCTGTCCTTGGCCTTGTCCCTGGCCATGTCATTGTCACCCATCCCTGGTCCCTGGCCTTGTCCCCGTCACTGTCCCTGTCCCCAGGGTGACTCCGGGCAGTGCTGGTCACTGTCAGTGTCCTGTGTCATGGTGGCTCCAGGCAATGCTGTCACTGTCCCTGTCCCCATGGTCACTCTGGGTAGTGTGTCACTGTCCCTGTCCCTGTGTCACTGTCCCCATGTCCGCGCAGTGCCCCCAGGGAAGCCCTTGGCACACGTGCCCAGCTCAGCCACGGTGGGTGCCCAGGCCGTGCTGTCCCTGTGTCACTCTGGGCAGTGCCATCACTGTCCCTGTGTCACTGTCCCTGTCCCTGTCCCCGCAGTGCCCCCGGGGAAGCCGCTGGCGCACGTGCCCAGCTCTGCCACGGTGGGTGCCTGGGCTGTGTGTCCCTGTGGTCACTCTGGGCAGTGTGTCACTGTCACTGTCCCTGTGTCACTGTCACTGTCCCTGTGTCACTGTCCCTGTCCCTGTGCCCGCAGTGCCCCCGGGGAAGCCGCTGGCGCACGTGCCCAGCTCTGCCACGGTGGGTGCCCGCGCTGTCCTGCGCTGCTCCGAGGCTCAGGGCTCGCCCCCTCCCACCTTCCGCTGGTACAAGGACGGCACCGAGCTGCCCCAGGACCCCAAATCCAGCCCCGCCTTCCGCAACTCCTCCTACAGCCTGGACCCGCGCACGGGGGAGCTGGTCAGTGCCCGGCCTCCTGCCCCAGCCCTCTCACCTTCTCCTGCCCTTTTTCCCCTCTTTTCCTTCTCCTTTTCCCTGATTTCCTCCCCTTCTCCTTCTCCCTTTCCCTGTTTTCCTGCCCTTTTCCCTGATTTCCTCCCCTTTTCCTCTCCCTTTCCTCATTTTCCTCTCCCTTTTCCCTGTTCCTCTCTTTCCCCCTTTTCCTGCCCCTTTTCCCTGTTCTCCTCTTTCACCTTTTCCTGCCCTTTTCCCTTTCCCTTCCACATTTTCCTGTCCTTTTACCTGTTTTCCCTCCCTGATTTCCTGCCCCTTTTCCTCTCCCTCTCCCCTTTTCCTGCCCTTTTCCCTCTTTTCCTCTCCCTTTCCCCCTTTTCCCTCTTTTCCTCTCCTTTTCCTGCCCTTCCTCCCTCTCCCCCTCACCTTTTCCCTGTTTTCTTCTCCCTTTCCCCCTTTTCCTCTCTTTTCCCCCTTTCGTGTCCTTTTCCCTGTTTTCCTCTCCTTCTGCCCTTTCCCTCTTCCTTCCACATTTTCCTGTCCCTTTTCCCCATTTTCCTCTTTCTCTCTTTTCCCGTTATCCTCTAATTTTCTCCCTTTTCCTGCCCCCCATTTCTCTGCTTTCCCCCCCATTCCCCCTTCATTTTCCCCTTATTTTCTCCTCTATTTTTTCCCCATTTGTCCCCTGTTCCCCCCCATTTTTCCCTTTTTCCCATTCCCCCCATTTCTCCTCTATTTTCCCCATTTCTCCCCCATTTTTTCCCAATTTTTCTCCATTTTTCCCCCATTTTCTCCTCTATTTTTCCCCATTTTTCCCTGTTTCCCCCATGTCCCATTTCCCTGCCCCGTTGCAGGTGTTTGAGCCCGTGGGGGGCTGGGACACGGGTGATTATCACTGCGAGGCCTCCAACAACGTGGGCAGCCCCCAGAAATCCGACGTCTTCCGCATGGAGGCCAGTAAGGAGCGATCCCAATCCTCATCCCAATCCTGATCCCAGTCCTATTCCCGATCCCATTCCCCATCCCAATCCTTATCCCCATCGCGATCCCAATGCCAATCCCGATCCCATTCCCCATCCCGATCCCATTCCCCATCCCAATCCTAATCCCAATCCTGATCCCAGTCCCCATCCTAATCCTGATCCCAATCCCATTCCCCATCCTGATCCCAATCCTGATCCTGGTCCTGATCCCCATCCTGATCCCAATCCCCATTTCCAATCCCAATCCTGATCCCAATCCCAATCCCATCTCAATCCTCATCCTTATCCCCATCCCAATGCCAATCCTAATCCTCATCCCGATCCCCATCCCAATCCTAATCCTGATCCCATCCCCATTCCCCATCCCAATCCTCATCCCCTTCCCAGTCCTAATCTTCATCCCCATCCCGATCCCAATCCCCATCCCAGTCCCAATCCCAATCCTGATCCCAATCCTCATTCCCAATCCCATTCCCCATCCCAATCCCAATCCTTATCCCCATCCTGATCCTGACCCCAATCCTGATCTCCATTCCAATCCTATTCCTGATCCCCAATCCCCATTCTGATCCCAATCTCCTCAGTCCAGTGGGATCCCTGCCGATCCCGTGGGATCCTTGCCAATCCTGTGGGATCCTCCGATCTCTCCTGATCCCCCCAATCCTGTTGGATCCTCCCAATCCTATGGGATCTCCCCAATCCTGCCTGATCCTGTTGGATCCCCTCAATTCCATTGGATCCCCCTGATCCTGTGCGGTCTCCCCAGTCCTGTGGGATCCCTCCTGATCCCATGGGATCTCCCTGATCCTGTTGGATCCCCCTGACCCCATTGGATCCCCCCAATCTCCCCAATCCCCCCGATTTTGTGGGATCCTCCAATCCCCCAATCCTGTGGGATCCCCCCAGTCTCCTCGATCCCCCAGTCCCACAGGATCTCCCCAATCCTGTTGGATCTCCCTGATCCCTCCTGATCCCCCTGATCCCATGGGGTCCCCCCAATCCTGTTAGATGCCCCTGATGCCATTGGATCCCTCCTGATCCCATTGAATCCCCCCAGTCCCATTGGATCCCCCCAACCCTGTGGGATCCCCCAGTCCCATGGGATCCCCCTGATCCCATTGGATCCCCTCAATCCTGTGGGATCTCCCCAATCCCTCCTGATGCCCCCAATCCCACTGGATCCCTGTGATCCCATGGGATCCCCCCGTTCTCCCCAATCCTGTGGGATCCCCCAGTCCCATGGGATCCCCCTGATGCCATTGGATCCCTGCAATCCCGTTGGATCCCCCCTATCTCCCTCATCCCCCCAATCCTGTGGGATCTCCCCAATCCCCTTGAATCCCTGTGATCCCATGGGGTCCCCCCAATCCCCCCAATCCCGTGGGATCCCCCTGATCCCATGGGATCCCTGGGATCCCCCGCTCCCCTGTGTGCGTCCCGCAGGCGAGGTGAACGTGGGCGGCATCGTGGCCGCCGTGGTGCTGCTGCTCCTGTTCCTGGGGCTCGCCGCCTTCGGCGTCTGGTTCGCCCACAGGCGCGGCTACTTCAGCAGTGAGAGACTGGGGGGGACTGGGAATGGACTGGGACGGGACTGGGATGGACTGGGAATGGGCTGGGAGGGACTGGGATGGGGCTGGGAGGGACTGGGATGGACTGGGAGGGAATGGGAATGGACTGGGATGAGACTGGGATGGACTGGGAATGGGCTGGGATGGACTGGGAATGGGCTGGGAGGGACTGGGATGAGACTGGGATGGGGCTGGGAGGGACTGGGATGGATTGGGAATGGACTGGGAGGGACTGGAAGGGAATGGGAGGGACTGGGAATGGTCTGGGAGGGACTGGTGTGGACTGGGAATGTCCCTGTGTCCCTGGGGATGTCCCCGTGTCCCCATGTCCATCCCCATGTCCCAGTAATGTCCCCCCTGTGTCCCCTCCCCTCCCTGACCCCCATTTTTTCCCTTTTTTCCAGAAAAAACAGAGTGAGTGACACTGGAGCCACCTCCTCCTCCTGGGTGACCCCACCCCCCCCCCCCAGTGCCAGATCGGTGTCCCCCTGGTGTCACCCCGGTCCCTGTGGGGACAGAGGGGACACGGGGGGGTGGCACATCCCAAATTCCCGATTTTCCCGCAGTGCCGGAGGGAAGAAGGTGATTTACAGCCAGCCCTCGCGGCGCAGCGAGGTGAGGACATGGGGACAATGTGGGGACAATGTGGGGACACGAGGACATGCCACCGCCCTGGCGGGGACACCCCAGTGGCAGGGGGACACCCTGGTGTCCCCAGTGTCCCTTGGCAGGAGTGTCCTGGGGGGGTGGTGGTGGGGGGATGGTGTCACCTGTGATGTCCCCATGGATGTCCCCATGTCCCCAATAATGTCCCCATTGACCTTCCCATGTCCCCATTGGTGTCACCGTGTCCCTATTAATGTCCTTGTCACTGTCCCCATCGATGTCTCCATGGCTGTCCCCGTGTCCCCATGGCTGTCCCCATCAATGTCCCCATCAATGTCCCCATCAATGTCCATGTGTCCCCATGCTGTCCCCATGTCTGTCCCCCTGTCCCCATCAATGTCCCCATCAATGTCTCCATGGCTGTCCCTGTGTCCCCATGGCTGTCCCCATGTCCCCATCAAAGTCCTCATCAATGTCCCTGTGTCCCCATCCATGTCCCCATGGCTGTCCCTGTGTCCCCATCCCTGTCCCCATCAATGTCCCTGTGTTCCCATGGCTGTTCCCATCCCTGTCCCCATGTCCCCATCAATGTCCTCATCCCTGTCCCCATGTCCCCATTCCTGTCTCCGTGTCCCCATCGATGTCCCCATCAATGTCCCTGTGTCCCTGTCAATGTCCCCATGTCTCCATCCCTGTCCCCATTGATCTCCCCGTGTCCCCATGCCTATCCCCATGTCCCCATTGATGTCCCCATTGATGTCCCCATCCCTGTCCCCATGCCTATCCCCATGTCCCCATTGATGTCCCCATTGATGTCCCCATTGATGTCTCCATGGCTGTCTCCATGTCCCCATGGCTGTCCCCATGTCCCCATTGATGTCCCCATGTCCCCATGGCTGTCCCCATCAATGTCCCCATCGATGTCCCCGTTGATGTCCCCATCAATGTCCCCATGCCTGTCCCTGTGTCCCCATTGATGTCCCCATGTGTGTCCCCACAGAGCGAGTTCAAGCAAACCTCCTCGTTCCTGGTGTGACGTCGTCCCCGCCGCCCCCGGACGCTTTTCCCCAATTCCCGGAATTCCACGGGATTTGGGGAATTCCGCGCGATTTTAGGAGATCCACGGGATTTTGGGAATTCTGTGGGATTTTGGGAATTCCAGCAGGATTTGAGGAATTTCCTGTGGGATTTGAGAATTCCCGCAGGGTTTTTGGGAATTCCTGCAGGATTTTCAGAATTCTGTGGGGTTTTAGGAGATCCATGGGATTTTGGGAATTCCCGCGGGATTTTCGGAATTCTGCAGGATTTGGGGAATTTCCTGTGGGATTTGGGAATTCCCATAAGATTTTTGGGAATTCTCATAGGATTTTTGGGAATTCCTGCAGGATTTTCGGAATTCCCGTGGGATTTTTGGGAGTTCTGTGGGATTTTCAGAATTCTGTGGGATTTTAGGAGTTCCATGGAATTTTGAGAATCCTGTGGGATTTTAGGAGTTCTGTGGAATTTTGGGAATCCCGTGGAATTTTGAGAATTCCCGCGGGATTTTTAGGGAATTCCATGGGATTTTTTGAGAATTCCCACAGGATTTTTGGGAATTCCATGGGATTTTTAGGGAATTCCCGCGGGATTTTTGGGAATTCCTGTAGGATTTTGGGAATTCCCACGGGATTTTCGCCGCGGTTTTTTTAAAGACTCTCCGGTGCCTTCGCCGTTGCTGCCTCTGGAACTTGGGGGGTCCCTGTGTCCCCTCTTTGTGTCCCCCTTTTGTCCCCTCTCTGTCCCCCCCCATTGTCCCCTCCTATTCTCTCCTTGTCCCCCTTTTTGTCCCCTTTGTCCCCTCCCTTCGTTCCCCATTTTTGTCCCCCCCCCCACATTGTCCCTCCCTGTCCCCTCTCTGTCCCCGGGGGGCTCTGGGGGGGGACAGGGCTGGTGCCACCACCTGGGGACAGCACCAGTGTCCCCCTGGTCCCAGTGTCCCCCCTGAACTGGGAGCGTGGGAGGGGGATACTGGAAATAAACCTGTGTCCTTTACCTGGCCTGTGACACTGGGGACAATGTGGGGACAATGGGGACATTGGGGAGGACACTGGAGGGACAATGGGGGATCTCTGCGGAAACTGTGGGAACACTGGGGACATTGGGGGGACCCTGGGGACATTGAAGGGACATTGGGAGGATCTCTGGGGACATTGAGGGCACACCGGGGGGATCTCTGGGAACATTAAAGGGACATTTGGAGGTGTCTGGGGACATTGGGGGCCCTTGGGGACATTGGGGAGTCACTGGGGACATTGTGGGGTCCTTGGGGACATTGAGGGGACATTCTGGGGGGACCCTGAGATACACTGGGGGAGGTCCCTGGTGACATTGGGGGACCCTTTGGGGTGACATTTGGGACACCTGGGGACATTGGGGTGGTCCCTGGGGGCTGAAGTGACATTGGGGTGACAGTGGGGACATTGGGGGACCCCTGGGAACATTGGGGTCAGAGTGGGGACATTGGGGGGGTCCCTGGGGCCTGACGGGGCATTGGGGGTTGCAGTGGGGACACTGGGGACACAGTGGGGACATTGTGGGGGGTTTCCCTGGGGCTGAGGGGACATCGAGAGGCGCCGTGGGGACACTGGGGTCACAATAGGGACATCGGGGGGGGTCACAGTGGGGACATTGGGGTGTCCCTGGGGCTGAGGGGACATCAGGGGTCACCATGGGGACACCGGGGACACCCCCCACCATCGACGTCACCTTTATTGAACTCCTGCCCCTCCCCCCCCCGCCCCCAAACCGAGCTCGGGCCCCCCCCAAGGGAGGGGGAGGGGCGGTTTTGGTGGGGGGGGGGGGTTCCCGCTCCTTCCTCATTACCGACACCTTTAATTAGTGGCACTAATTGCCCCGGTGCGGGGGGGCCGCGTTAATGGCGGGGTCTACGTTAAGCAGCAGCGACGGGCGGGGGGGGGGGGACACGGTGGCCTCGATTATCGGTGACACCCCCGGGGGGACCCCCCGACACCGCCCGGAGGGGGGGGGGGGGACAGGGAGGGGCTCCAGCGCTTGGGGGGGCTGGGAGGGGGCTCCTGCCTCAGTTTCCCCTGGCGGGGGGGGGAGCAGCGGCGCCCTGGGGGTGGTGACACCTCCACAGGGGTTGGTGACAATTCTAGGCATTGGTGGCACTTTGGGGCTGGTGGCACCTCCAGGGGTTGGTGGCACTCCAGAGGTTGGTGGCACTTTGGGGCTGGTGGCACCTCCAAGGGTTGGTGGTACCTCCAGGGCTTGGTTTGTGGCACTTTGGAGCTGGTGTCATCTCCAGGCATGGTGGCACCCCAGGGCTTGGTGGCACCTCCAGGGGCTGGTGACACCTTGGGACTGGTGGCACCTCCAGGGGTTGGTGGCACTTTGGGGCGCCAGGGCTTAGTGTCACCTCCGGGGACTGGTGCCATCTTAGGGCTTGTGGCATCTCCAGGGCTTGGTGGCATCTCCAGGGCTTGGTTCAAGGCATGGTGGAATCTTGGCTGGTGGCTCTTCTGGGCATTGGTGACACTTTTAGAGACTGGTGGCATTTTGGGACTGATGGCACCTCCAGATGTTGGTGACACCTCCAGAGTTTAGTGACACATCCAGGCATTGGTGGCATTTTGGGACTGGTGGCATCTCCAGATGTTGTCGACACCTCCAAGGACTGGTGACACCACCAGGGCTGGTGATACCTCCAGATGTTGGAGACACCTCCAGGGGTTGGTGGCACTTTGGGACTGATGGCAGCTCCAGACATTTGTGTCCCCTTGGGGCTGGTGACACTTCCAGACTTGGTAACACTCTGAGACTGGTGACACCTCCAGGTGCTGGTGACACCTCCAGGCATTGGTGACACCTCCAGACTTGGTGGCACCTCCAGGGCTGGTGGCACCTCCAGATATTGGTGTCCCCTTGAATCAATGACACCTCCAGATGTTGGTGATGTTGGTGTCCCTTTGGAGCTGGTGGCACCTCCAGGGCTGGTGACACCTCCAGTTGTTGGTGTCCCTTTAGGGCTGGTGGCACCTCCAGTTGTTGGAGACACTCCAGATGTTGGTGTCCCGTTGAATCAGTGACACCCCCAGATGTTGATGTCCCTTTGGGGCTGGTGGCACTTCCACCACTGGTGACACCCCCAGATGCTGGTGTTCCCTTGAATCAGTGACACCTCCAGATGTTGGTGTCCCCTTGAATCTGGTGACACCCTCAGATGCTGGTGTTGCTTTGTGGCTGGTGGCACCTCCAGAGCTGGTGACACCTCCAGATGTTGATGTCCCCCTGAATCCGGTGCCACCTCCAGTTGTTGGTGTCCCTTTGGGGCTGGTGTCCCTTTCAGGCTGGTGCCACCTCCAGATGTTGGTGTCCCCTTGAATCTGGTGACACCCTGAGATGTTGGTGTCCCCTTGGGGCTGGTGGCACCTCCAGCGCTGGTGACACCTCCAGATGTTGGCGTCCCCTTGAATCTGGTGACACCCCCAGATGCTGGCACCCCCTGCCCCTGGTGCCACCTCCAGCCACAGCACTACCTCCACCATCCGCCACCACCCCCTCGCTCCGCCACCACCCCTGGCCACCCCTGGCCCCGGCTCCGATGTCACCTCCGTGTCCCCCATCTCAGACGTTGCTGATGCGGACGCTGAGCGGGGCCCCCTCCCCGTCCCGCTCGGCCTCGCGCAGCGACTCCTCCAGCTTGACCTTCTCGGGGTCCCCGAACCGCACGGCCTCGTGGTGACAGCACGGCGCCGCCACCTTCACCACGCGGTCGAAGAGGCTGAAGTCGGCCACGTACTTGCCGCTGGCCGACAGCGAGATGGCCGGCGTGAACTCGTAGCCCCACAGGATCTCCTCGGGCAGGTAGGACGTGCGCACCTGGCACGTGGCGCTGGTGGACTCCACGGTGCCGCTCAGGATGACCACCAGCTCGAAGTCGCCGTCGCCCGAGCGCAGGGACACGTCCCGCAGCGGGCTGGCCTCGTCCACCACGTGGTAGAAGGTCAGCGGGAGGATGAGGAAGGGGCTGTCCGAGGACGTGTCCACCTGGAAGTCCACGTTGAGCTGGTTGAGGCGCACGCTCTCGCCCTCCTTGGTCAGGTGCGTCTGCAGCAGCTTGCCGGTGACCTGGCAGCCGATCAGAAGGCTCTTCCTCATGTTGGCCACGCGGATCATCAGGCAGGTCTTGCCGTCGTGCTGCGCCACCACGGCGTTCTGGCTGAACTTGATGGTCTCGGCGCGCTTCTTGGGCCGCGCGATCTTGGCCAGGAAGGTGCCGGTGATGAAGATCTCCAGGATGGTGGTGAGCACCAGCTGGGTGATGAGCAGCACGATGGCCAGCGGGCACTCCTCGCTGATGTAGCGGAAGCCGTAGCCGATGGTGGTCTGCGACTCGAGGGAGAAGAGGAAGGCGCCGGTGAGCGTGTGCACCTGCATCACGCACGGCGTGTGGTTGGCGGGCGGCTCGAACTCCAGCAGGTCGCCGTGCGCCGCCGCCACCAGGTACCACACCACGCCGAAGGCGAACCAGGTGCCGGCGAAGGTGGCGGAGAAGAGCAGGAGCTTGTAGCGCCACTGGAGGTCGATGAAGGTGGTCCACAGGTCCTTGAGGTACAGGAAGCGCTTGTCCGAGATGTGCTCCATGCGCACGTTGCTGCGGCCGTCCTTGGTCAGCACGCGGCGCCGACGCAGCCCCGGCCCCATCAGGGGGCGGCTGTCGGTCTGCGTGGTCTGGCTGTAGTACACCTTGGTGGAGGACGTCATCTGCGGGACAGGTGAGGGACACGTGAGGGACGGGTGGGCGACAGGGGAGGGACAGGTGGGGGACAGGTAGAGAATGTCACCTGTGGGACAGAGGGGCAGGTGCAGGACCAGTGTGGGACAGGTGAGGGACACATGGAGAACATCATCTGTGGGGACACAGGGACAGGTGAGGGACAGGGGAGGGACAGGGGAGGGACAGGTGGAAGACACATGGAAGACATAATCTGTGGGGACACAGGGACAGGTGGGGGACAGGTGGGGAAGATCATCTGTGGGGGCATGGGGCAGGTGAGGGACAGGTGAGGGACACATGGAGGAGATCATATGTGGGGACACAGGGACAGGTGAGGGACAAGGGAGGGACATGTGAAGGACAGGTGAGGGACAGATGGGGGACATATGGAGAACATCATCTGTGGGGACATGGGGATAGGTGGGGGACGGGTGGGGGACACATGGAGGAGGACATCACCTGGGGGACACAGGGACATGTGAGGGACAGATTCAGGACAAATGGAGGAGCTCATCTTCAGGAATAGGTGAGGGACAGGTGAGGGACACATGGAGGAGATTATCTGCAGGGACACGGGGACAGAGGAGGGACAGGGGAGGGACAAATGGAGACCATCTGTGGGGACAGGTGAGGGACAGGTGGAGGAGATCATCTGGGGGACACAGGGACACGGGAGGGACAGGTGGGGGACAAATGGAGGAGGTCATCTGCGGGGACACAGGGACATGGGAGGGACAGGTGGAGAGGGGCACCTGCAGGGGACACGGGAACAGGTGAGGAGGTCACCAAAGGGGACACAGGGACAGGTGGAGGGGGTGATCAAGGAGGACATGTGAGGGACAGGTGAGGGGCAGGTGGAGGACGATGTCAGGGAGGGAACAACCGGGAGGGTCATCCCTGTATCTGTCCATCCCCCTGTCCCTCTGTCCGTCCCCATGTCCCTCCATCCCTCCACATCCCCCCCCCCATTCCCAAATCCCTTGTCCCCAATCCCAAATCACTGTCCCCTCAGTGTCCCCCCCCCGTCCCCCCCTGTCCCCTGGCAGCTCCGGTGGTGGCCGTGGAAGCGTCCCGGGCGTCCGGGAGGAAGAGGAAGGCGATGAATGGGAGGTGACAGGGACAAACGGCCGATGGCAGCGCCAGGCGCCTCCCCGGTGTCCCCGTGTCCCGGTGTCCCCATCCCAAAAAGGCCCTTTCAGCCCCCGCCAGCCCCTGGCCCTGCCACCGTTTCCGCCGCGGAAGGGGCAGCGTGCCGGGGACACGGGGACACCGGGGGTGGTGGCACCACGGGGGGGTCTCCTTGGAGCACGGTGTCCCCGTGGCAGCCAAGGCTGGGGGACACGAGTGGCACTGCCACCGTCAGAGAAATGTCCTGGGAGGGACGGTGGTGACAGAGGGGACATCGGTGTCCCCAAAGAGGGGACACGGAGCTGCTCCTTCACAGAGGGGCTGGGGGGGTCCCTGGGGCCACCGTGTCCCCACAGAGCCACTGTGTCCCCAGAGCCACCATGTCCCCAAAGCCACTGGGTGTCCCCAAAGCCACCACCTGTCCTGGAGCTGCTGGGGGTCCCCAGAACCTCCCATGTCCCCAAAGCCACCGTGTCCCCAGAGCCACCGTGTCCCCAGAGCCCCCCATGTCCCCAAAGCCACCACCTGTCCCAGAGTTGCTGGAGGTCCCCAGAACCCCCCATGTCCCTAAAGCCACCGTGTCCCCAGAGCCCCCCATGTCCCTGGAACCACTGTGTCCCCCAAGAGCCACCATGTCCCCAAAGCCACCACCTGCCCCAGAGCTGTTGTGGGTCCCCAGAGATCCCTATGTCCCCAGAGCCACCAGCTGTCCCCAAAGCCACACTGTGTCCTCAAGTTCCTGGGGTGCCCAGGGCCTCTCCTGTCCCCAAAGCCACTGTGCCCCTCTAAAGGCCCCACCATGTCCCCAGAGCCGCCATGTCCCCAAAGCCACCGTGTCCCCAGAGCCACCGTGTCCCCAAGGCCCCCCATGTCCTCAAAGCCACCACCTGTCCCAGAGTTGCTGGGGGTCCCCAGAGCCCCCCATGTCCCCAAAGCCACCGTGTCCCCAGAGCCACCATGTCCCCCACCCTCTGTTTGGGGGTCTCTGCACACCCCTGCCCCCCTCTAGAGTGGTCCCAACCCCCCTCTTTATGCTCCTGACCCCCCCCTTTCTCCCCCCCCACCCCCCATTTTTGGTCTCCCCACCCTCCCGCCCCATTTACGGGGTCCCCGCCCCCTCGGAGGGCCCCGCGTGCCCCCCGTGCCCCCCGGGCGTGCTCCGGTGGCCGGACACGGTTCGGGACAAGCCGCAGCTTGTTCCCGGTGCCCGCGGCACAACCGGTTACCCATTAACCCCCCCCTACACCCTCCCCGTGCCTCAGTTTCCCCTCGGGGGGTTCTGGTCACTTTGGGGGTCACCGCAAAGGCCCGGCCCTACATGGGGGGGTACAGGAGGATTGAGGGGGGGCCCCAGGGACGCGTCCCCGTTCCCCGCGTCCCGCTGGCACCGGCGGCGCGGGCACCGTTCCCACGGCACGGCGGTGCCAGGCGTGACCGGGCACCCCGCCAGCCGCGCCCCCCCCAAACTGGGGCGCGGGGCTGCTCCGAACTGGGGTAACTGGGATTTGGGGGGGATAGGGAGCGGCCCCACAGCCCCGCGGAGGGGTCCCTGAATTGAGGAGGGGGGCGCGGGGTGGGTGCGGCGGGGGTGGAGGGGGGGTGGCGGTGGGGTGGCGGTGGCGGGGGGGGGGACAGGGACGGGGACAGGGACAGTGGGGCCATTGTGCGGCCGGAGCCGAGGTTTCAATGGGGCTGGCGGGGGGACAAAGGCGCTTTGACGGAGCCCTCGTTAAGATGCAGAGCCCCGCGCGACACCGCCACCGCCAGCGCGGGGGTCCCGGGGGGCCCGCGACACCGCCAGGGCCAGCGAGGGGACACGGGGACCCCCATGGCTGATGGCACTGTCACCGAGAGGGGCACGGGGACCCCCATGGCTGATGGCAATGTCACCGAGAGGGGCACGGGGACCCCCATGGCTGATGGCAATGTCACCGAGGGGGGCACAGGGACCCCCATCGCTAATGGCACTGTCACCGAAGGGACACAGGGACCCCCATGGCTGATGGCACTGTCACTGAGGGGGGCACAGGAACCCCCCACTGTCACTAAGAGAGACACAGGGACCCCCATGGCTGATGGCACTGTCACTGAGGGGGGCACAGGAACCCCTCACTGTCACTAAGAGAGACACAGGGACCCCCATGATTACTGCCACTGTCACCGAGGGGAGGCCTGTGACACTGCCAGGGCCACCAAGAGGGGCACAGGGACCCCCATGGCTAATGGCACTGCCACTGAGGGGACACAGGGACCCCCATGGTTGATGGCACTGACACCAAGAGGTGCACAGGGACCCTCCACTGTCACTAACAGGGACACAGGGACCCCCATGGTTACTGCCACTGTCACCAAGGGGGGGGCTGTGACACTGCCAGGGCCACCGAGAAGGACACAGGGACCCCCATCGTTAATGGCACTGCCACAGAAGGGGGTGCCAGTGACACCGTCAGAGCCACCAAGGAGGGGCACAGGGACCCCCACTGTCACTGAGGGGACACAGAGACCCCCATGGTTAATGGCACTGTCACCGAGGGGGCGCAGGGACCCCCACTGCCACCCCCACCGCTAGCACAGGGGCCCCAGGGTGCCCCCAACACCACCAGGGCCACCAAGAGTGGCACAAGGACCCCACTGCCACTGCCAGCAAGGGGGCACAGGGACCTCCATCGTTACTGTCACTGTCACCACAGGGGTCCCCTGACACTGCCATGGCAACCACGGGGATCCTGTGGCTCCTCTGTCACCGTCACGGCCACCACGGGGGTCCCAGGGTCCCACCGTCCCCTGTCACTGTCAGTGCCACCATGAGGGTCCCAAGCCCTCGCTGTGTGTCCTGAGGGACTCCTGTCCCCCCCATGTTCCCACTGGGGGTCCCGGGGGTGTCCCCCATCCCCATGGTGACCATGGGAGTCCCAGGGGTGTCCCCACCATGGCCACGGCCAGGATGGGGATCCCAGATTCCTCCTCACAGCATCGGGGGGGCCCCAAAATGGAGCTGTAGGTCACATCTGGGATAATTCACATGTGGTATAACCCACACCTGGGATAACCCACACCTGGATAATTCACAATTGGGATAATTAACACCTGGGATAACTCACAATAACCCACACCTAGGATAACCCACACCTGGGATAGTCTACATCCAGGACAACCCAAATTCCAGGATGACCCACAGCTGGGATAACCCACAGCTGGGATAACCCACACCTAGGATAACCCACAGTTGGGATAACGCACACCCAGGATAACCCATATTCCACAATAAACCTCACTTGGAATAACCCACATCCCAGGATAACCCACACCCAGGTAAGCCCACACCTGGGATAACCCACACCTGGGACACTCAGAATAACCCACAGTTGGGATAACCACACTTGGAGTAACTCCTACCTGGGATAACCCACACCTGGGATAACCCAAATTCCAGGATAACCCACAGGTGGATAACCCACACCTGGAATAATTCATACCTGGGATAATTCACACCCAGGATAACCCAAATTCTGGGACACTTGGAATAACCCACAGCTAGGATAACCAACATCAGGGAATAACTCATACCTGGGATCACCCACATCTGGTTAATGTGGGTTAACCCTGGGATAACCAACATTCCAGGATAACCCACACCTGGGATAACCTACACCTGGGATAATTCAAATTCTGGGGTAATTCACACCTGGGATAATTCACACCCAGGATAACCCATACCCAGGATAACCCTCACCTGGGACATGGGGACATGAGGATAAAGGGACAGGGGCCTTGGGGACATTGGACCTGGGGATCCATGACACGGGGACGTGGGGCACAGGGGACACAGGGACATGGGGACATCAGAATAGAGGGATGGGGGACATGGGGACATAGGACATGGAATAAGTGCCATGGGGACACAGGGACATGGGATATAGAGACAGGACAGTGGGGACATAGGACACGGTGATGTGTGACATGGGGACATGGGGATGTGGGGCACAGAGTGTTGGGGACATGGGAGAGGGACACAGGATTTGAGGGTGCGGGGACACGGGGGCACAGGGGAGTGGGGACACATTGCTGTGCGGCATAGGGATGGGGGAATATGGGGACATGGGGATATGAGGACATGAGCATATGGGGACATAGGGACATGGCAATAGAGGAATATGGGGACATAGAGACATGGGGACATGGGAATATGGGAACATGGTGACACTGGGATATGTGAGAATATGAGGAAACGGGGACATGGCAACAGGGAATGGGGCCGTGGGGACACTGGGATATGTGAGAATGGATATCCCATATCCCAGGGACACAGGGACAGGGGCCATGGGGATATGGGGACACAGGGACAGTGTGGTACGTGACATGGGGACATCAGGGCATGGGGACATGGCAATGGGAAAACATGGGGATTTGGGAATATGGGGATTTGGGAATATGGGGACATTGGGATATGGGGAAGCTGGGGATCCAGGGATACAGTGACATGGGGACATCAGGACATGGGTGCACTGGGATATGGGAATATGGGGACATCAGGACATGGGGATATGGGGGCACGGGGATATGTGGGAACATGGGGATATGGGGACACAGGGACAGGGTGGTACGTGACATGGGGACATCAGGACATGGGGACACTGGGGTACAGAGAAACGAGAACATGGCAATGTGGGCCACAAGGATTTGGGGACGTGGGCATGAGGGACTTGGGGACACAGCGATTTGGGGACCAGTGATGGGTGGACACGGGGACAGGGGGACGTGGCCTCACGGGTGATGGCAACACAGGGATGTGGGGACATCATCGGGGCTGCGGTGCCACCAACGGGGGGACAAGGGGTCCCGGGGTCCCCTCTGCATCGCCAGTGCCATCCCAGCACCACCGCCCGGTGCCCGCCGCCCTCGAGACCCCCCGGGAGGGGACGGGGGACCCCCGGGGACCCCCCCCGGGCCGCCCTTACCTTGCTGGGGGGGTCGCGGGTCCCGCCGTGCTCAGCCCGGCCGGCTCCCCATGGGCTTTATGGCTCGGCGGGGCCGCGGCGGCGGGACGGGCACCCCCCCCCCCCCGCGGAACCGGGGAGGAGCCGCCGGGGGCGGGCCGGGGGTTAATGGGGTGGAAAAGGAGCCGGCCGGCACCGGGTCACGTTACCGGGCACGGGGGGGGCACCGGGGGACCCCGCCCGCGGGCACCGGCACCGCCATGAGGGCAACCGGGGGGGATGGGGGGATGCGGGCATCGGGATCGGCAATGGGGAGTCCGGTGGGGGCACCGGAGGGTCCCGGTGGGGTTGTCCAGGCACTGGCACCGGCACTGGAGGTCTCGGCGGGGGCACCGGGGGTCTCATAGGCGCCTCCTGGGCATCGGTGCCTCCAAGGGGGTCCTGGAGGGTCCGGGCAGGGTCCCGAGGGCACCGGGGAGTGCCCGGGGCTACACCGTGTGCCCGTGTGTGGCTGGTCATTGTGTCTGTATGTCCATGGGTGGCTGGTCAGTGTGTCCATGTGTCCGTGTGTCCATGGGTCAGTGTCTGTGTGTCCGTGCATCCATGGGTAGATGGTCAGTGTGTTGGTCAGTGTGTCCATGTGTCTGTGTGTCTGTGTGTCCATGGCTGTTCAGTGTGTCTGTGTGTCCACGTGTCAGTGTGTCTGTGTGTCCGTGGGTGGCTGGTCAATGTGTCCATGTGTCCATGTGTCTGTGTGTCTGGATGTCTGTGGGTGGATAGTCAGTGTGTTGCTCAGTGTGTCTGTATGTCCGTGTGTCCGTGTGTCTGTGTCCGTGTATCTGCATGTCCATGGGCAGATGGTCAGTGTGTCTGTGTGTGTCCATGGGTGGCTGGTCAGTGTGTCCATATGTCTGTATGTCAGTGCATCCATGTGTCCGTGTGTCTGTGGATGGTCAGTGTGTCCGTGTGTCCATGTGTAGATGGTCAATGTGTCCGTGGATGGTCAGTGTGTCCATGTGTCCATTTGTCCATGGGTAGATGATCAGTGTGTTGGTCAGTGTGCCCATGTGTCCATGTGTCAGTATGTCCATGTGTCCGTGTGTCTCTGGGTAGATGGTCAGTGTGTCCGTGTGCCCATGTGTAGATGGTCAGTGTGTCTGTGTGTCCATGGGTGGCTGGTCAGTGTGTCTGTGTGTCTATGTGTGGATGGTCAGTGTGTCCATGTGTCCATGTGTCTCTGGGTCGATGGTCAGTGTGTCCGTGTGTCCATGTGTAGACGGTCAGTGTGTCCGTGGATGGTCAGTGTGTCCATGTGTCCGTGCGTCCGTGTGTCCGTGGGTGGCTGGTCAGTGTGTCTGTGTGTCCATGTGTGGATGGTCAGTGTGTCCATGTGTCTCTGGGTCGATGGTCAGTGTCCGTGTGTCCATGTGTCCCTGTATCCCTGTGTCCATGGGTGGCTGGTCACTGTCCATGTGTCCATGTGTCCGTGTGTCTCTGGGTCGATGGTCAGTGTGTTGGTCAGTGTGTCCATGGGTGGATGGTCAGTATATCCGTGTGTCCGTGTGTCCGTGTGTCCGTGACTGCCCCACTCCAGCCCCGTCCCGGCCTCTCCGGAGCCACAAAGGTCCTTTGTCCACCCTGGGGGGGAGGAGCGGGCGACTGACCGCGGGGGCGGGGCTACCGGAGGGGGCGGGGCCTGTCAGGGGACCCCGGGCTAATGATGGGGGGTCTGGGCTAATTAGGAGGGGGCTGGGCTATTTAGGGGGGATCTGGGCTATTTAGGGGGGGTCTGGGTTAATTAGGGGGGCTAATGAGGGGGGGGTCTGGGCTAATGAGGGGGGGCTAATGAGGGGGTCTGGGCTAATGAGGGGGGGTCTGGGCTAATGAGGGGGGTCTGGGCTAATGAGGGGGATCTGGGTTAATGAGGGGAGGAGGGAGGGGCTGAGGCGGGGAGGGGGCTGGCCTAATGACGGCACCCCCTGGCTAATTATGGGGGGGGGGGGGGGCGCTGAGCCGAGGGAGCGAACGGCAGCCCTGGGCCAGCGCAGGGGCCCCTGGGCTAATTAATGGAGGGCTAATTAATGAAGGGCTGATGATGGCTTGGGGAGGCTGTGATAATTCAGGGGGGGGCTGTGATAATTCGGGGGGTGCAGCTGAGCCCGGGGTCAGGGGGAGCTGGGCTAATGAGAAGCCCACCCGGGTTAATTATTTTGGGGGGTTCGCGCTAATTATGGGGGGTTTGCGCTAATTTTGGGGTTGTTGCGCTAATTTTGGGGGGGTTGCGCTGATGGTGGGGGCGAAGCCGATCCCGGGGGGGGTTGGGCTGTCGCTGGCCACCCCCGGGCCGGGTGTCCGTGCAGTGGGGGGGGTGAAGGGGGGGCGGGGGCTCCCGGTATTTTTATCCGAGCGCGGCCGTTGCCGGGGAACGGAACGGGGCGGGGGGGGGGGGGACACGGAGAGCGCGGAGCGAGCGGGGCTGCGGCAGCGGTGAGAGCGGGCGGGGGGGCGAGGGGAGACCCCCGAACCTGACCGGGCACCCCTAAACCCGGCTATGACCCCCCCAAACGCGGCCGTGGCTCCCCAAACCCGGCCGTGCCCCCCCAAACCCGGCTATGCCCCTAAAACCCGGCTATGCCCCCCCCCAAATCCGGTCGTGCCCCCTCGAACCTTGCTCTGCCCCCCCCCAAACCCGGTTCTGCCCCCCAAACCCGGCCATGCCCCCCAAACCCGACTGGGCCCCTCCAATCCCGGCCGTGTCCCCCAAACCGGGCTCTGCCCCCCCCCAAACCCGCCTACACCCCCCAAACCTGCCCATGTCCCCCCCAAACCCGGTTATGCCCCCCAAAAAAACCCACGAATGAATGGGGAGGGAGGAATTGGGGGTGATGCTGGAGGGGACCCCCCCCCCAATCGGGGCACACGCGTGTGTAAATGGGGGGGTGGGGGTGTGCGCGTGACCCGGGGTGAGTGTGCAAGAGGGGAGCTTGGCGCATGTGCAAGGCCCTGTTCCGGTGCCCCCAGTTTGGCACCTCCATCACCCCATTCCTTCCCAGTTCCCCCAGTCTGAGGGCTCCATCCCCCCTTTCCCCCATCCCAGTCCCCCCAGTTTGAGGTCTCCATCCCCTACTCCCCCATCCCAGTCCCCCCATTTCCCCATCCCAGTCCCCCCAGTTTGCCACCTCCATTCCCTCATTCCTCCATCCCAGTCTCACCAGTTTGGGGGTGCAATCCCCCCTTTCCCCCCATCCCAGTCCCCCCAATTTGAGGGCTCCATTCCCCACTCCCCCATCCCAGTGCACCCAGTTTGGCACCTCCATCCCCCCATTCCCTCCTCCCAATCTTTGGGGGTGCAGTCCCCCCCATTCCTTCCCAGTCCCCCCAGTCTGAGGTCTCCATCCCCCCCACTCCCCCATCCCAGTCCTCCCAGTTTGAGATCTCCATCCCCCCATTCCTCTCTCCCAGTCCCCCCAGTTTGGAGAGATCATCACCATCCCAATCTTCCCAGTTTGGGGGTACAATCCCCCCATTCTCCCCATCCCAGTCCCCCCAGTTTTATGTCTCCATCCCCCCATTCCCCCATCCCAGTCCCCCCATCTGGCACCTCCATCCCCCCATTCTCCCCATCCCAGTTCCCCCAGTTTGGCACCTCCATCCACCCATTTCCTCCTCCCAGTTCATCCAGTTTAAGGTCTCCATCCCTCCATTTCTCCATCCCAGTCCCCCCAGTTCTCACCCCCTGTCCCCCCCCGCAGCCGCCGCCGATGGCTCAGGACAACGCCGCCTTCTGCGGGGTCCCCGAGGGGGTCCCCACGGGGGTCCCGGCTGAGGCCAAGCCCCCTCCCCAGCCCCCCCAGGCCCCCAAACGCCGTCCGTGGGGGGCCGGGGGCGCCGCGGGGGCCCGGAAGCGCCAGCGCTACGTGGAGAAGGACGGCAAGTGCAACGTGCAGCACGGCAACGTGCGCGAGACCTACCGCTACCTGACCGACATCTTCACCACCCTGGTGGACCTCAAGTGGCGCTTCAGCCTCCTCATCTTCATCCTGGCCTACGCCCTCACCTGGCTCTTCTTCGGCCTCATCTGGTGGGTCATCGCCTACAGCCGCGGCGACCTGGAGCACCTGGGCGACCACACGTGGACGCCGTGCGTCAACAACCTCAACGGCTTCGTGTCGGCCTTCCTGTTCTCCATCGAGACCGAGACCACCATCGGCTACGGCCACCGCGTCATCACGGACACGTGCCCCGAGGGCATCGTGCTGCTGCTGCTGCAGGCCATCCTGGGCTCCATGGTCAACGCCTTCATGGTGGGCTGCATGTTCGTCAAGATCTCGCAGCCCAACAAGCGCGCCGAGACGCTGGTGTTCTCCTCGCACGCCGTGGTGTCGCTGCGCGACGACCGCCTGTGCCTGATGTTCCGCGTGGGCGACCTGCGCGACTCGCACATCGTCGAGGCCTCCATCCGCGCCAAGCTCATCCAGTCCAAGCAGACGCAGGAGGGCGAGTTCATCCCGCTCGACCAGACCGACCTGAGCGTGGGGTTCGAGACCGGCGACGATCGGCTCTTCCTGGTGTCGCCACTCATCATCAGCCACGAGATCGACGAGCGCAGCCCCTTCTGGGACGTGTCGCGGGGGCAGCTGGAGAGGGACGACTTCGAGATCGTCGTCATCCTCGAGGGCATGGTGGAGGCCACAGGTAAGCGGGGTGGGGACGTCTTGGTGGGATGTGGATGCCTTGGTGGCATGGGGACATCTCGATGGCATGGGGACATCTCAATGGCATGGGAATGCCTTGGTGGAGTGGGGGATGGCTCGGTGGCATGGGGACACTTTGGTGACGCAGGGACACCTCAGTAGCACGGGGATGCCTCAGTGGCACAGGGACGCCTCAGTGGAGCAGGGACAACTTGGTGGCACATGGATGCCCTGGTGGCGTGGGGACATCTCGATGGCATGGGGACGCCTTGGCGGCACAGGGATGTGCTGTCTTTGTATGGATGCATCCATGGAGATGTCATCTCCATGTGACACATCGTCTTTGTGGGGATGTATTTTCTTTGTGGGACACATCATGTCCATGGGACACATCTGTCCGGACATCTCCATGAGGACA